AGGCCAGCCTTTCTTTAAGGTGACAGACACCCTTGTGTGGGGCCTGGGGACAGGAACAAGCAACATGGTCAGCTTTGGCAGGTGAGACACAGTGAGACCCAGCTGCATGCAGAAGTAAAAACAAAGGCCAAGGTGCTAGGGGCAGAATGGGGAAGGATGTGGGAAAAGTGACGATGTCATTGCAACACCCACCTCATCTTGCAACGGTTGATGAAAGGACAAAGGGACAAATTCAGAGCTGGTTGGACATAATAGTCCTCTGCACAGGACAGCGTCATAAATCTCCACCACCACTACCATGAGCAGTAGAGACCTGGGTGCGGTGGTGCCTGGGGTCCAGCCTACTACCTGCAGCGGGGCTGCCACCAGCATTGGCTCAAGGCAGCCATGACATTTAGCTGGATGCCTCCCAAGGAAGGAGATCCACAGCCCCTCTGTGACCTGTCCCAGGGCTGCACCATCCTTTGCAGAAGGAGCTTTTCCCAGTGTCCAGTCGGAACTCCTGGTCCTTATCCCTGGTTAGAGTCTGGCGCCCTGAGAAGCGTTTGGGTCTGGCTTCTTTGCATCTGCCCCCAGCTGCAGTTAGGTCCCCCTCATACCCCAGTAAACCCATCCCAGCTCTGACCACCTCTCCTCATGTGCCCTGTGCCCCAGGGCTGGCTGTCTTTGTCACCCTCCACTGGACTCCCCTGTTCCTCCGTATTGCCCTGGAGCTGGGCAACCCCCACCCAGCCATGGCAGCATCCCCAGTGCGCCTCCCTCGAAGCGCTGGCCACGCTCCTCCTGCCATGGTCCAGGACATTGTTCTCTTTATTCTCCATAAGAGCAAGTCGCGGGCACCTGTTCGGTGTGGGGTTGGTGTGGGGGCAGCCCCGCGATTCATGGCCAAGGGAGCCAGAGGCTTCCATAGGGTTTGTGGGTGAATAGGGTGCCAGCAGGAGCAGGGAGGGGCATGGGACAGGGCTCCCAAAAGCATGGGAGAGCGTGGGAGGCTGAGGCCACCAGCTCTGGGGTCCTGCATCACCGGGGGTGCTGGCAGTGCCAGGCTGCGAGCCTCTGGCCCTGGAGGGAGAGGCAGCAGGGAGATAAGGCTGGGGATTGCAGGCTCTTGGCGGATCCTACGTGACAGAGCCAGGGCTCCCTGTTTTTCATCAGCCATTGAAAACGCCTTGCTCAAGCGGACGGAGCTGTGCTGCCAGGAGAAACAAAGCCAGGCAAAGGGAGCCATTAGCATGGGTGGAAGATGCCATTTTGAAAACTTTTATTGCAGGAGAGAGCTGTCTGCTCTGAGCTGTTGCAGAGGTGGCTGTGGGGGCTCTGAAGGCCAGGGCAGTTTTTTGATGCAGAGGAACCTGTTTGGAGCCTGCTCAGCTCACACTGGATTAATTAAAAAGTTGGTTAGAGAGCAGCAGTGGGACACAGGGAACCCCTCCTGCACGTTTGGCCAGAGGCTTTTCCTTCAGGCTGGGCCAGGCGATGCCTTTCCCTGTGGAGCTGCCCCTGGGCAGGCAGTGCTCTGGGGAAGGAGGGCTGGAGGCCTCCTGCCAGCGGCAGATGCTGCAGAAGTAGCCTTCCCTCCCAGATCCCTGGTGAGGTCCTGCAGGACCCTGCATGGGTCCTCCTCCATGGTGATCCCTTCCTGAAACATGTGCCTTCCCAGGCACCATCACCTTTCCGTGCCCTGGGAATGGGTGGATGGGAAAGGAAGACACCCGGCGCTGCTCAGGCATCCCCAGTCTTGTTTGAGAGCGCTACAGCCAGCCCTCTCAGCATCGCCGCTGCCGTCTCCAAGCTGTATCCTGGCTAGTCAGCCGTCCATGCCTGCGTGCAGTGGTGAGGCAATTAAAGGCCCATATGTTTCCCGTGAACCCCTATTAGCATCTTCTGATTGGTGCTGGAGATGCGGGAACCTACCACATGGGAAGCTGCGAACCGCCCCTGCTTCAGTGACGGTCATGGTTGTCACTCTCCTGGGCTAAATGATGCCCAGGTAAAGTAGGAATCCTTGTGCTTTCGCTGTTTCAACTCCCCCTTTCTAAGCAAGGGTTTCTGGGAATGCTCTGCCCCTGCCCTGTTGTGAGCCTGAGGGGAAGCAGCGTGTCCCAAAGCTGCTGTCACGACCCCCGGAGCAGAAAACTGGGGTGTCCTCGTGTCTTCCAGCAAGCGGTGAGAACATCCCCGCTGTTCGAACAGGGAGGGGTTTAGTCCCTGTGTGAAGGTTTCAGTTTTGATTTGCTGTTTACTGTGGGGACAAGAAATTGGGTGGATTCCAAATTAAAAGCTGTTTTCTCACCCAGAGGAAGACCTGGAGGGAGCAAACCAGCTTTGAACACAGCGTTTGTTTATTTTACCTCTGGAGGTTGTCGTTACTTGAGAAAAAAAATGAAGAAGGACTTTGCATCAAATTTCCATGATTTCCCTGTCTTTCAGCATGATTTCAGAATATTTTCTTTGGAGAGGTTCTGATTTTCTGAGGTCATTTTATACCATGCCCGTGTGCAGGACCTCCAGGGGAGGGAGGAAGCTGCCCAAACTACTGGCCATTTCGATGGCGCATGCGGGGCTTTAGTATCCTAGCTCAGTATTTTTGGTGACTACGCAGCCCCCAGGTTTTGCCCTGCTCTAACGCTCATAGAGTATTGCCGCTGTCAGCCCGGGCCAGGCCAAACCTGGGGAACGTTTGCTGTCTCTCGGGGCCAGTCGCTACATCTCAGCAGCGCAGGCATTTTTGGATGCATCTCTATCTCAATGCAGAAGAAGCCTTATAGGAAAGTTGTTATTTTTAAAACAAGCCTCGGGAAGGTGAGAGAGACCCCCGTCTCACAACATCTTTGATCAAGTGACCCCGTATTTCACCCTCAATGTCGGGCTGGAGCAATTTTACATGTTGGTCTTAGTGTGTTTCAAAAATGGGTATTAGTATGGGGACCCTGTTACCCTTTCAGCTGCAGAGCCACCACCACTGGGCTGTAACAGGGAAGCACACGGCCGTCACCTCTCCCAGCAGCTTAACACCCTCTGAGGTGGGTTTGTACTGAGGGACACACTGGGAATTGGCTCAGGAGTGGAGTCAAAGGCGGGGAGATGGGGGACAACGATGCTGGAAAGATCCAGGAACACGAGGAGATGCTGGTTTTTCAACAGATCCTTTGACTGTAGGAGGCAGGAGGGACTTTGCAAGCAGGGATGCTGATGGCATTTTTCTGTAGAGCTTTTCTCATTGGAAACTCAAGACAATTTTGAAGAAAGGGACATGAAAAGTGAAAAAACCCCCTCTTTTTTCTCAAAGAAAAAACCAGATACTCCTCTGTAATAGCTCTTACTTTCAGCAGCCCCGAGTTCATGCTTTTCCCAGGCTGTTTTCCTGACCTGCCTCATTCCTGAGAGCCTTGGCAGCGAGCTGGAGCCGAAGTTTGTTTAACTCGTTTCAGCGCAGAAACCACCTGCGACCCCCCAGGCTCTTCGTGCCGCACAAGGAATGAACAGCGGTGGAAAGTCACAGCCAGGAGTAACCACCAAGAGCCACGCCAATAAATGCTCATAGTCTGGTTTTTGCTTTGGCATTAGTGACCCCCTGACTTCAGAAGGGCTTTCTGGTGTTCAAAGCTTTGCATGGATATTTTTAGTCACCCATGCCCTATCTGTTCATACTGTATTTGCGCTGTGGTCCAGCCATAGCCACCCATTGGCTGTAGGCACCGTGCACCCCCCGCACCACTCTCGCCCATCCTGCTGGCTGAACAGGCGGTTTTTCGAGTGGCTGTTGCTAATGGAGCACCTTCTCCATCTGTGAGAGGCGTAGAGGTCGGCGCACAAGTGGAGGTAGACCCCAGTGTGCTGCTGCCGGTCGTGGCAGAATCCTAGAATTCCAGGTTGGAAGGGACCTCGAGGATCATCTGGTCCAACCTTTGGACTAGAAGTGGCAATTTGCTTATGGTACTGAGTAGTGCAGACAAGGACCAGCTGCGGAGAGTTGCAAAAGGACCTTATGAGACGATGCGACCACAGCATGAGAAGGCAATTGGAATTCAATAGACTTGATGTGAATGGGGGAAAACAATCCCAGCTCTACACACACATGCACAGAGACAGGCTGTGAGTTGGCCTGATGCCTCTCAGGAATAAAACCTTGGGGGTCTAATAAGTAGTCCAGTTGGTACATTGGGAGGTTAAAAAATAATTTGGACATTGCTAATGATGGGAAAAGAGTAGAGAATAGAGTAGTGAATGTTGTTACGCAACTTGCTTGGGGCATGACGGAGGTTTCAGCAACCTAGGGGTCATGGAGAAGGCGGAAGGCGATTGCACGTTCATTGCCAGTGCAAGTGTGAGATTGCATCAACGAAATGGCAGCCAGCAGCTTCAAAGCCCAGGGCAGCCGATTCTTTGTGCACCAGGCAATTACACTGCAGGGCCCTGTGCTGCAGGATAAAACGAGTGCAAAATGTTTGAATGGAATAAAAAAATTATGGGATAACCTAGTGGAAGAACCGTCCCACAAGGGATGTTAAATGCAAAGAGCCTGCTTCTCAGGAGGCCCTCGGGCTATGAATTGCTGGAGGGTGGGAGGGTTCTGTGGGCAATGGTTGTGCACAGCTCCTTGGGTGACTGCTGTTGGGGAGGGGACTCTGGTGACTGTGCGGACCTTCAGTCTGACTTGGTACAGCCATGCACATCTTATGTGACGGCAGCTGAAAATCCCCTTTGCATTTGTAAGACTCCCTGAGGGGGCCCTGTTCTGTGCTCGTGGCTGGGGACTAAGGGGGAGAGGCGGCTGCATGGGGATCTCATCTCTGCGGGCAGGACGAGCAGCAGCACCAGCCTCCTCAGAGCCTTCAAACCAGCTGCTTCTTCTCCACTTTGTTTACTCCAAGCTGACAGGTTTTGGCTTTGGACCCTGCAAAGCCCTGATGGGCGTTTTCTGGCAGCACTGCCAGGCTCTGGGCATCCCTGCCAGCCCCTGGCCTCGCCACTTACCGCTGCTCTTGGTTCTCTTCCAGGCTGCCCATCGGGGACGTTCAAGGCCAGCCAAGGGGATGAAGGATGTGTCCACTGCCCGATTAACAGCCGGACGACTTCAGAAGGGGCCACTAACTGCGTGTGCCGAAATGGATATTACCGGGCAGATGCCGATCCTGTCGACATGCCGTGCACCAGTATGTTGGCTCTGGGAAACTAGGGAGGGAATGTGCGCGGCTGAGAAAGGCGACACACATTAGTCAAAAGCACCGAGTGGTACTTAACAAAGGCGCCTGTCGCGGTGGGGTTTTGGAGGAAGATGGGGGCTCAGAGCACATCATCCTTGCAGGCGTGGGTCTTCTTCACCAGCCTGCACTTGCAAGCATTGCACATGCAAAGAGGATGGAAATTCGGGTTGCTCTGTGCTCTTCTAGGCAGTGGGATCATGCTGGGCCTGTAGCTGGATGAGAAGACCTGCGTGTTGGCACACAGGAGATCAGTGCCAGGAGTCAGAAACGCTACGAAAAATAATGGTGAATTTTGCCAGGGATGCCACATGATGAAACGAGCCTGGATTAAGAGGGTGGGTTTTGTTCCTGCTCCTGCCTTTGGCATTCCAGCCTGCTCCGCGCATCCCTGACACCAAGAGAAGCGCCCGGCTCTGCTTGTGCCTGCTGCAGAGTCCTGTCTGGGGATGGGGAGAAGGATGGGGTGCAGCTGGTCCTGTAGTGAGGAGCAGGGCTCTGGCTCTTACACCTTTCTGTCTCTTCCCTTTACAGCTATCCCGTCTGCCCCTCAGGCTGTCATCTCCAGCGTAAACGAGACCTCTCTGATGCTGGAGTGGACCCCGCCGCGGGACTCGGGGGGCCGGGAGGACCTGGTGTACAACATCATCTGCAAGAGCTGCGGCTCCGGCCGCGGGGCATGCACGCGCTGCGGGGACAACGTGCAGTTTGCCCCCCGCCAGCTGGGCCTGACGGAGCCCCGCATCTACATCAGCGACCTGCTGGCCCACACCCAGTACACCTTTGAGATCCAGGCGGTGAATGGTGTTACCGACCAGAGCCCCTTCTCCCCGCAGTTCGCATCAGTGAACATCACCACCAACCAGGCTGGTAAGATGTGGCCCCGTGTCTCCCAGAAGACCTCTCCAGGAGGGGGAGGTGGTGGGCAGAGATCCCCTGGTCAAGAGGTGCTGGGTGAAACCCTGTGGGGTGAGCAGGGCTTGATGGGGAGAAGAGGTGGGGTGAGGTGTGGCATGGTGTTGCTTGCTCCGTAACGCTGGTGGTGACCAAAGTGCATGCGCCTGGCAATTCCTGGATTAATCCCAAGCCTTGGGTGTGAAAAATATCCGTTATTTCAGTGAAAAACTGGAGTGTGCCCCGAGGAAGAGCTGCCCTCCCCATTGACGTGGCAGAACAGCTCATGTCACGGTCCCCTGGTGTCTCAGCATCCCTCTCCGACTGTTTCTGAGGCTGTTGCCTCGGAGCATCCGTTGCATGCACTGTTGGTGTGCCACAGACCTAGCAGCACTGCTCACCGCTGCTGGCAGCCTTGCTGCAGCCCCTGCTGCTGCTCCTGCCTCCCGAGGAGGGAAGGGAAGGTGGGCACCAGCACTTGGACACAAGCTGCGATCCCTGCTCCAGCTGCAGGCCATGAAAGCGCAGGAAAGCTGCACAGAAGTGGGGTTGGGAGGTGGATACAGGGGATGACGGTCTGGAAACATGCTCCAGTGCCACTGCAGAGTCACCGTGGTGAAGAGGACCAAGCAGCAGAGCCAGAAGGGTTTCATTCGGGGTCTCCAGCTCTGTGCTTACCTGGTAGTTTGCTACGTCCCCCTGTGCAGGGTGGTTTTGCCAGGGGAAGGGATGTGTCGGGGTGGCTGGCGGTGCTGCTCTGCGGAGTCACAGCAGCCCCCAGGCAGCAGCCGGGCTGGTGGCAGGGTGCCCCATAGTGCTGCCGGGCAGGGGCTGCTCTCCCCAGCCCACCTGGAAGCCATCTGGAGCTGGAGCACAGGCTGGGGCTGGGGCTTTGCCTAATCCGACTGTGGAATGGAAGTGTGCCAATAAGGTACAAGCATGAGTGGGAGCACACGAGTTTCTGTGGTCCCTCTGAGCGCTGCAGCAAATCTGTGGGATTCTGTGAACATGCCCCAGGCTGCCATGGACACTACGTGATCTTCAAGAGTGAATTTGGCAGTCGTGGATGATTGCATTTCCACTGAATTGCCTGGAGACCATGGTGTGTGCTGGCTGCAGGGGACGGGAGGCGTTTGGCCTGGGGTAAAGCAGCAGTGGAGCAGATGGGCACCACTTGGTTGGGTGTGCAGAGCACCGGGAAAGACGTAACACGCAAAAATGTCTTGGCCGCACATGAACCAGCAGAGTGACCTCTGATTGTAAGCCAGCTCAGGAGCTGCAGGGTCACAGTGTTTCCAATACCACAGCAGAAGCCCTGAAGGCAGATTGAGCACAGCACTGAATCATGGGTCGAGGGTGAGCAGGGACGTGCCCGCGGGTGATGAGGAGAGAGGAGCTGGGCTGGGCTGGTGACCTGCTGCAGCTTCCTTTACAGAGGTGGCTGGTGGAGATGGGTGGGTGCGATGCTGCCCAGGGCTGGGAAGGGGCTCTGCACGCCCCCAGCATGGTCCTGCACTATAAACGAGTTACTTAATGCTGAGATTTTGCACTTTGCAGCTATAACCGTATAACACTGGATACGGTGTGCTTGTTACCTTCACACACTGCCTGTGGCTGCTTCCACCTTAGCAAAACCAGGGCACTGAGTTGCAGGCGAATCCTCTTCAGCCTCCTGGATCCTCCTCCTCGTGTTTTCCTTGTTTGACACTCCTTTATTATCAGGGCTCACACTTCTCAGCCTCTGTGATGTCTCTCTTAATGTATCTATTCATTAGCACTAAACAGTAACTGTCTGCTTGCTAATTCCTCTGTAATTAGAGGCTCTGAATTCTTCTGCTTACACTTGGCACCACCTGGCAGCCTTGATGTAGATCATTAGCAGTTGGTAACAGAAGCTGCAGATACAAAGGCAGAGCTGGGACAGGAGAATGGAGGGTGTTGTAGGGAGAGGCACGGGTGCAGAGGGCAGGGATGAGCCTGGGGAAGTGGCCATTGCAGCCTTGGCTCTGGGCTGAGCAGCTGGCTGGGGCTCCAGCTTGGGCAGAGCAGAGGATGGAATACATGGTGGGTCGTGCTCCTGCTGCAGCTGGGCGATGGCCTCCCTGCAAAGCACCCGCTACACTCGTCTTTGGGGACCTCCCAGCCCCACAGAAAGCAAGGCAAGATCACCCTGGTTGAGCCAGGGATAAATGGACCACTCCTGGGGACCACCTGTGCTTGGTACCTTCAGGACTGAGGAGAGGATCCACGGCCCCAGCAGCATCTTCAGCCTTCATGTATCTCAAATTCTTCAGCATCCCAGGAAAAAGCTGCTATGAGGGCGTAAGAAAATGATCCCAGGCAGAGGGCAGGTACTGAGCGTGGCCGGAGGAGAGGCGCTGGGGGTGCGAGGGTATGGTGACTGTCATCCCCAAAGGGAAACTCGAGATCAAAGAAGGTGATGCACCGTTCACCTTGTTCTCCCAGAGGAAGGTGGTTGTGGTCATTGCAGCTGTACCCCTCTCCAGCGAGGTCTGGATTTCACCACCATTTGCCTTTACATCAACATAGTGTATGTTGCTGTTGTGCTGTGGTAGTGGGACGCTTCTCATGTTGACAGAGGCAGCAGTTGGCTTCTCTCAAAGAAAAATGAAAGGTAATTAGACCAAGCTGAATCACCCGTTCTGCTGTGAGGTGGCTTTCCAGATGTGGATCTTCCCATAGCTCTTTGTGGCCACTTCTGTATTCTTCATCATCATTTTTTGAAATAGACAGTGTACCCAGTAGCAGATAAACAACTTCCCTTGCTGCTCTCACTGTTCTCTTTACACATCCAAGTGGAAGGTGCCCTCACGCAGCCGCACAGGCACTCCTACCTTCCTGGTGGCTCCTGTCATGGTCCCTTCAGGTGCTGCCTCCCTTGATGCAGTCTCTCCCATTCTGCAAGCAAGGCCTGCATTTTGGCTTCCAGACCCAAGCACAACCTTACAGTCATCATGGGCTCAGCCATCAAGCCATGATCACTGCTCTGCACAGAAGCTGCCATTCCCAACACTGCAATTTTGGACACTTTATGAACAATTTGCCAGGACTGTTTTTATATCGTCTCCCAGATCTCTGATAACCTTAAGGAGAGGTGCTGCCTCCACTGTGCTGGACACAGCGTGAGTCCCCATTGAGGGCCAGCCTTGTTCAAAACTAATTCCATATGTTGCACATGACGCTGCTGATGAGCCCCGTGTCTCACACGCTTTAAGTCTGTGCACTCTGCTGAACTCCCACGTTCAGGAAAAAAATTGAGACAGTTTGACAAGAGCTGCTTCCACGGAGTCATGCTGCTGAGCCTGATCTGGGCCGTAGGATCCCACCAGCGATTGTGGTGTCTGATTCACCCTCCTGTTTGCAGCAGGACCATCACCAAGAGCAGATCTGCTGTGGATTTTTCTAGCTGAGTCTTGGAAAACTCCACCTCTCTGCTAACCTGTTGCAGGACTATGTCACCCTCCTGGGAAAGGTGCTTTTCAGGATTTCCAGCCTGATTTGTGGCTTGTGCCCCCTGTCGAATCGCTTACCCCTGCTGGGAAAAGTGAGTCTCCACCCTCCTTTAACGGAGCTTGGAGCAGTTGTAGCTGCAATTAAATTCACCCTTAACATCTTTGTTAGCAGGCTCAGCCAGCCCAGCTCTCTCCACACCACGTCTCATAAGCCTCGTGCCCCAGGCTGCCTTGGCCACCCTTGGCTGGACCCTCTGCAGTTCCTCCTGGACCCATGGCCTCATGTTCTGCATTGGCCAAATTGATGTTGGTTGATGCTGACCTTAGACTACCCGGGTTTACCCTTTGCATTTCACTGTAACATTGTCATCTTTTCAGTTACACCAACAGCAGTCCAGACACCACGGTGCAGAGAGGACCCCCGAGGGACAGGCCACCTCTCTTTGTAGGAGAAGGTTGGTCAGAAGAGAGCGGCCAGCGCCAGCCCATGCTCGGGGGCAGTTTCCTGGACCTTTCTTGTGCAGTGAGTGTCCTAAAAAGACCAAAGGTGTTTGACCTTCAGAAGGGCAGGTTTTGTTATGATGGGAGGTATGATGCTTCCGTTTCCAAAGTATAGAAAGACAGAAAGGACTAGGACCAGCAGAATAGAAATAAAAAAAGCTTGGAATAAACATCCCCTTCCCACCACCTCCTTGCTCCCCAGTCAGTCTTCAGCCAACTCAGATCTGGGGCTTGTGCCCCCTGTCACATCACCTACCGCTGCTGGGAAAAGTGAGTCTCCACCCTTTTTTAGCAGAGTTTTGAGCCATTGGAGCTGCAATTAAATTCACCCTTAACATCTTCATTAGCAGGCTCAGCCAGCCCAGCTCTCTCCACATCTCATTAGCCCCATGCTCCAGGCTGCCTTGGCCACCCTTGGCTGGACCCTCTGCAGTTCCTCCTGGACCCATGGCCTCCCAGCAAACTCTGCATGATCCCCACTGACTTCCTAGGAAATATCTTCTGTCACCTCCGAGGCCGGGTTGTGTGTTCTCTCTGCTCTTCTCAGCAGGCTGCTTCTTGACCTCCAGCTCCTTGCTGTACCTTTCCCAGCTCACCCTCCACTTGCCTGCACCCTGCAGCTGCGTGGCACCTCTCCCAAGCTCAGAAGCTCTCCAGGGAGGGAGATCGGACACAGCCAGTCCTGTCTTAAGGGACCGTGATGTGGCCAAAAAACCAAGCCCATCACGCAGAGACCAGGTGCCACCAAAAGCCTTTTCCCAGCCATGCCAGAACAGAAGATTGTGTGCCCAGAGGGTGGCTGAGAGCCATGCCAGGATCCCAAGAGGGAAGCCGCAGGAGGGAAGCCAGGGGTCAAGGAGCTGAGCGTGGCCCAGTGCTCGGGATAATGACACTTGACTAATTGAAAGCCATGCCAGGCGTCAGCCCTCTTGCTGGTGACAACACACAGCCCCTGCTTGCGAACGTTCTTTGAGGATTGGGGTGGGTGGCGAGTCTTGGTGC